ACGTTGTTAATAATTTTAATAATTTATTGCCAAGAAATATTAATCAATTTTCTCTGTTTTGAAAATACAGGTAAAGGTGTATAATAATAAAACAGGTATAAAATAAATACATAGAGAAAATTGATTTTTGACCTAAAAAATTCTGTGCTCAAGATACAGTATCGGTGCAAGCAAATAACTTTTAGTATATTGAAAAACAATTCCAACAAAGTTGAGATCACCCAGATCCATTAAGTCGTTGCTGAGATTAATGGATTTCAAATCATAAAAATTTCATAAATAATTTTTAAATACTGTAATATGTTAGTGCATTTAAAGACATGGTGTACTACAACGATAAAGTGATAAGATATAATTTTAACATATAGTGCACATTAGTTTTTAAATTTAATAATTGTCCTTCCTCATCATAAATAATTAAATTAACCCCATTTTTAAATTTATAATATAATTCTTTGTATTAAAAAAATAATTATTAACGTTAAATATTGGTAATAAATTTAATTTATTAATTATATTGTCTAGAAATTCATTTTACGGCAATATACCCTGGTTATAATAAGTTTATATCTTTAAGCAACATGGTATTATAATTAATTAAAATAACTTATTACTATGTCGCTATAGTACAGCTTATCGTTAAATGCACTAACAATTTGATAATTATTTAGAAAAAATTAATTAAATTGTAGAATTTTATAATTATTAAAAAATATTATTTAAGTAATCATCGGCTTCTACTTGCTCCAAAAATTTTTAAATAAATTTTTATTGTAAATATTTTATAGAAATACAGTCTTTAAATTACAGTCTTTATACTTTTTTATCAAATGTCCTAAGAGTATCCATAGGTCGGTGGTTCGAATCCCGGGGAATCTTATTTTTTTGTATTATAATATAGTTATTATTATATTATAGTTTAGTTTTATTTTAATTTTTCATAAAAAAATATTTATTAAAATATATTTTGATATTAATTAGATCATATGCATAATTAATAAATGTTTAAAAATTGAATTAATATATGAATTAACAAAATACACTGTAAAGTATTAGTTATTCTTGAGTTTGTAATCATTGGCCATAACTGACGCTAACCTGGGTATACGCCCGGGTGATTATATCTATAATTTTATATATATTATCAAGATAACCACATATTTAATTGCCACTGTCACGTTATATCCTTAATTGTAAGGGAGTACAGTTAAAAATGAACCGGTATATAATTAATGTATATTAATAGCATAAGAAAATATATTATTTATATTTAAAAAATGCAAAACTAATAAGAATTCAATATTATTTATAAAAATTAAGTTTATTAATAACATGAAATTACTTAATTACATATTTTTATTTATTATTCTAAAAATTATTTTTATTGTGATAGCATGTATAATAAAAAGTAGCCAGTTTAATTTCTCGATTTAATATAGCACATAAGTGTCTTAGGTGATAGTGCGGGTTGACCCTTAAAATAGTCCATTTTAAATCCAGGGACCAATTTAAACTCAAATTGGTGCACCATTTTAGCCAGGCACATTTGCATTTCATTTAATGCAAATCGTTGTCCAATACATAACCTAGGTCCACCACCAAATGGCATATAGGCGTAGGGATGGTGTTTAGGTTGAATCCAACGTTCAGGTAAGAAGTCATTGGGGTTGTCCCAATATTTAGGATCCCGGTGCAATGTGTAGGTACTAACAGTCATAAAAGTACCAGCTGGTATTGTAATACCTATAAATAAATGATATTATTAAATATATATATTAGAAAACATTATTTGAAACATTACAGAATATAAACCTTACACTATATAATTTAACCTTGGTTAATTTTTAAAATTTTAATATTTAATCTAATGTCAACCAATTTATAAATATAATTTAAATATTCGATAATTGATTAAATATTTAAAAATATAATTACAGTATGGATACTAGAAAATATTATACAAAATCGAGGGTTAAATGTAATAATTATAAAGCTACTCAAAGTGGACATTTAAATACTATTGATTTGTGAATCTGAAAACGTAAATATAAAATCATACAATTTAATATTTATTGATTACCTGTATTTCCGAGGGGGTAGTCCTCAACACATACCCGAAATAATCGTAAAAACGACGGCGCGAGTCGTAGGGTCTCATTGATGACTGCATTCAAGTACTTCAAGTGAACCAACTTTTCGTACGTAAACTCATCGCATGTTTTCAACTCTTCATAAAGTTTTTGCTGACACTCCGGATGGAGGGATAAGAAGTATATGGCGTGGGTTAGGGCGGCACTGGTAGTGTCGTAGCCGGCGATGAAAAATAGGATTCCCTGGGCTACCATTTCATCAATAGACAATGTCCCTGATGGCTTTTTAAATGTCTGTTCAGCGCTTTTGTCGTCCGGTTCCCCATCACTGATAGAGTCGTATCCGAAGTCTTTG